AACATCTGTGACTTGATCAATTCAATGTGTCAATTTTCATTTAATTTCAGAAACTCTGGCTGCAGTGTTGTCGTGGAGCCAGTGAAACCGGAGATTTTTGCTTGTGATGTCGGAGTTCGCGCTTTTTTCAGACTTCGGATTGGCCAAGATGACTTTACGGTTAGGGTTATATCGCCACCTGTTGTTTGGCATGCTTTTGACCACACTTCATAACGTGTTTTTGCGTTTTCATGTGGACTACATTGTTTTTTTAAACTCTGTTTATAAAAATACCCATGTTCGTGTGGACTAGGCCTTAGTTTAAACCAAAATAAACAGAACAGGAATAAAAACAAACCACATCACTACTGATATGATAAATTTGATCAACTGAAAAGGTCACACAAAGATCAAACTATATTTAAGCACAATAGCATTTACCCCCTCCCATTGACGAACAAAACCAGCATTCATCATTTGGGAGCCATACGTAGCATCATTCATACACAACACAGTTTCCGTGGCAACCGGACATGTACTATGGCAGTGCTCCAGATCCACTTTGAGTTACTGAGACTCGAGGCATTAAACGCTCTCAATCGAACAGGACTGTGTGCCTTCAGGCCTTAACCTCAGTACGGTACACACTGAACTCACCACAATGACTATTTGAAAGTGTTTCGAGGTTGGCAGCATTCCTTTGTTTGCTATCGTCACTCACATCAGAGTGAAATTCACCGATATTTTCAACTACTTTGGAGAAATAAACGTATCGGATGAAGCTACGTCATACTTCAAGGAAGTTCCATTCAAAAAAATAAACAGGAAGTTCTCAGAATATAAATGGCATGTCTATTTTTTTTTTTTTTGGTTGCTAGGAAGACTGAGATCTTATTTACAAGTGGGTTGCTTTGGCCCAGACAGCATGTTGTTCTGGAATGTTTGTCGGAACAAGTACAAATAGAGGTTTCTTCTGCTATGGGGAAGAGAGAAAGACTGAGAGGTTTTTCAGTCTACAGGTTATAGAGGAAACTTCAAGGGGGTTAGCATTCAATGGGATCTCATCTATAAGGGTCCTGGAGCATGAACATGTGTGGACCAGATGTCTCTGCTTCTGTCTGGAAAATGCTGAATGCATGCTGCAAGAGGAGGAGGGATCCAGCCACAAATACACTAGACTCTGGAGCCAAAAGTGGTTCCCTTGCTCGTACACATTCTTTCCCTCTCATTCCTCCGCTGCCTCTTATTCTTTCCATTTCCCTTCCAACAGAACAAAGCTTGCTGTTAACCTTTGACCTACTGTCGATGTATGCATTCTCCATTATAATTTTCTTTATAACCGATCATGCAAACAGCTGCTTAAGCCAGACTGTGTCGTAGATATTACACATTAGTCGGTGGGTTATTTTTTTAGCACAATTATTACAATAAAATTTTACAAAAAATGTGTTGTTTACAAAGAAATTATAGAAAATCAAACATACTGTCATAGCCAAGAGCAAAATAACTACCAGGTACAGACATGAGGGAAAAAGGAATAATAATAATAATAATAACAATAGAAGAAAAAAAAACAATAAAAGGAATAAAAAAAATAATAAAAAGAAAATTCATAGCCAAGAACAAAACAACTGCCAGGTAAAAACATGAGGGAAAAATTATTTAAAAAAATACAAATAATAATAATAATGAAAAAATAAAAATAAATAAAAGAAATAAGAAAAAAAAAGAAAATGAAATAAAACTCATAACCAAGAGCAAAACAACAGCCAGGTAAAGACATGAGGGGGAAAAATGATTAAAAATAATAATAACAATAATAATGGGGAAAAAAACAAAAGAAATAAGAAAAAGAAATAAAATTTATAGCCAAGAGCAAAACAACTGCCAGGTAAAGACATGAGGGACAAAATGAATAATAATAATAATAATAATAATAATAAAAACAACAATAATAATAGGGAAAAAAAACAAAAACAAAAAAAAATTAGACTAATTTCAGGTTTATTCTTAGATGTTTACCCAAGTCATCTAAAAGTTTGAACGTTTCAGACTTCAAAGATGTCAGATGTCTGTCTGAAGGTTGTAATGGTGGTGCTTTAAACATGATAAAAACATCAAGAAAGCAAAAATTGATCACACTTTACCAAATCAACAAGTTGGTTGAAACTTCCCTACTGTGTAGTTGCATTATAAACGCATCACCGTCCAATAAGCTACATGAAAATATAGAGGGACATTTATTTTACAACACAAATGTCCTCAGTTTCAAATTTTATACTGAAATCAGCATCAAAATTTGATGTACTAATCTTTCCTTTTTCAGACACAACCTCCTTGAGAATGTCAGGTATGTGTGGGCTGTTTTCTTACTACAGTACAATCGACTTGTTTACCACTCATGTTACTGACAGCTTTATCCAGAGTACAGCAGCTTGAACCAGTCAGGGAAAGCTGCAGGTTTAACACAGCAGAGCTGGATTATCAGGTTCTACAGAAAATGCAGGGGGGCTGTAATTGAGTTTCCTGGCAGGGAAACACTCAACTGCATCACTTTAGCTACGGAGTAAATTCTGTCAGTGAGCAAATACAATCACCTCAGGCTTGTGTGTTTAGGTGTACGAACAATCACCCTACCAGACTCTAGCCAAACCATGGGACTCCCCCCATTGTTTTGTATTTTTCCACTGATTCCACCTCAGCCTGCATGGTATGAATGAGAGCTAATACAAAAATTATCATCTCAGCCTCCTCTGAGACTTGAAGGCGTTAATTAGCAAACTCATTTGTGCTAAATGAATGGGGGATGAGAGATATTTGCTCTCTGAAGCACAGTTTCTGAGAAACTGATTTAAAGGAGGACTGTGGCTGTCCAAATGCCAAAAATGTTATTGGGTTAGTGTGATGCTTTCCACAGAACCACCTCTGGAAACTTCAGCATTCGCAAAAGTGACAGCCAAGCAATACAACCCACAAGCCAACCAAACCATTAAGTTGTTGCTTCTTACTATATTGGTGTATGGCAACACAACTGGGTTGATAGTAGGCCTCACCATCAGTGTTTTTCCACCGCAAATGAATGACTATTTAAGCAACAAGTGTTTCCATACATGGATTTCCTCTTCACCTGAAATCAGACTCGTTTTTATGTACACTACCTTTTTTTGTTTTTGTTGTTGTATGGGATCAGTAAGATTTTTTTTTTTTGCCAAGTGGTTTTTTCTTTTCTTTATTCCGTTTTGAAAGAAATTAACACTTTTATTCAGCAAGGACACTTCAGATTTGTCAAAAGTGACAGTAAAAACATTTATAATACTCCAAAAATTTTAAACAGCACAACTGTTTAACATCAATAGCAATAATAAATGTTTCTTGAGCATCAAATCAGCAAATTAAATTGATTTCTGAAGGATCACGTGACACGTAAGACTGGAGTAATGGCTGCTGAAAATTAATCTTTCACAATGAATTACATTTTAAAATACATTGAAATATTTATTTCACAATAGTATTGTTTTTTTTAAATATTTATCATGGAATAAAGGTGCCTTGGTGAGCATATGAGAAAACTTTCAAAAACATTTATAAATAAATCTTACCGATTTGGAACTTTTGAATGGTAGTAGTGTGTATAATTAAAGCATTGCATTTGAATGGAAAACTACACAGAGTCTGGATAGGGTGGGGCAAGACACCCACACCCATCTTGATCACATGATCTAAAGCTCCAATGATCTTTTAATAAAAAAAAAAAAAGGCTTTCCCAGAGACTCCCCAATTGCCTTCTCAAACACTTCACCTGTAGACAGCTTAATTTCTTGGAAAAGAAAACATCATAATGGCATTTTTGGTATGGCATGACAGAAGTTCCAACAACCTGATCCAACAACAAAAAAAGGCCTTCATTTGTTGACAGGCTGTAACTGAGCACATCTAAAACAAAGCTTCTCTTATTATCACAGTTTGTCTTATGATGTACACAGTGGGGAAGAATGGGACGGGGTGGAGATGAGAGGGTCTGACAGTTTCTTACAGTGCCATTAAAAATCTGGCAGCATGTTCCCTCCAGTCACTTCACTGAATGAGATCTCAAAAAAAGAGGGAACAACAGAACCATAGAATGAAGCTGGCTACTTTACCAAGTGGTGACGCCACAGAACCCCAAAAGAACCAAAGCTCAGAAAACCTGCTGAACTCAATGCAAGTGTTTGGATAGTGTGCTCGTCCATTAAAACAGGATACACTGGCTATGATAGTCTGTTTAGGTACTGAGTTAATGCGAATAATTTGTTCAAAAGGCCCCGCTATTGACTTGTTTATTTTTCATATCTAATCTATTTCAGCAGTTTAACCTCTGTTGACCTTAACACCTCACCTTTTTTCCAAAAATATGTCTAACCACAAACATGACAAAGACAAGGTGGTCAGACAGGTTGGACTATTTGAATACACTGAAAAGGTGCCGAATCAGGTCTGTGTAGATTTATTAGACGGATGAGTAATACAGAAACAGCTTTTGGAATGATGTTACTGTTTACAATCAAAACCTCCTTCACAACTAGCCAGTGGCTTTCTTTTAATTCTTATTATTTATTGTACTATTATTTTATGATGTTATATTCATGAAAATTAAGCACAATAACCATTCAAATTCTAATTTCTGCAATGCAAAAAGTAGTGATTTATTATGTAAATTATAAAAAGGATTAAAAATCATCATAAATCAGTAAAAAACAGTATTTATCTATTGCAGTATTAGGATATAATAAGAATGTAAGGTAATGAGACTTTTGATATTAATAGAAATGAAAAATATTCAAAAAGGACAAATATCCGGAAGCATTAGAAATGAGAACTTGGAGGAAAATGTGCTTAACTGTCAAAAAAAATAATCTTAATGGTCCTAAAAATAGCCTTTAAATTTGGGCATGTTTCATGATTTACCCATATAGCAGTTAAGTCAATGGGTTTCTCCAAAAATATATAATAATTTATATGTACCATGTTTTGTGTCTACTCACCACTACATGGTGGAAAAGGAGCTCCCATGAATGACTGATCTTCTGGTTGATAACCATATCAAAGAAGTCATATATAAAGTACCCTGAAACACAAAAATGCATATTAACACTATATTTGTCCAACAGTGGATCATTCAACAGGTTTTTCAAGCAACAGACCCCATGACAACAATTGTGTTGGGTACCAAGATGTCATTTCCAGAGAGCTATTTATATCCATCTCCCAATATGAGGGTCTCCATGGAGACTGCATTTTAGAGCAAAAGCCACAATTTTAAGAGCTGCTGAGTTATAAATTGGCTAATGTGCATGTCAAACCCATGTGCCTTGCAGTTAACTTTTTATGGACATATATTATGCAGAGATAACAGTACTGAAAAAAAATGCTATAAATTGTAAAAGAGTATAAAAATTAAAAGTAAAGGCCCATTCATTAAGAGTCATGTGACTTGGGGGTAGCACTCGTGCCTGGGACGGATCATAAAGCTAGCCATTCATTCTGCAGCTATAGTTAACATTTCTGCCAAATGCATGTGGGCTTCCTCCAAGTATTTAAAATATCTCTGGTATTTGGCAATTTGAATGGGAATTATCTACTTTTTGGTTGAAATAAACATTGCAGTCAACTGCGCAACATTTAAGAGTGATGCAAAATAATAGCACAATACACAAATAATAGCTAATAATCCAAGCGGATTGACATGCAGCCAATTTCTGTGATGCTGGATGTTTTGCGGTAAGTTTCATGTCACAGTCTTATTACTGCAATGCAAGACAAAAAAAATCATTATTGTAATGCAAAGAAAATAATAGATTATAAAGTATTTATTCATGGTATTACTGTCATACATTTAACCCTTATGCTGTGCTGAAGATCCTTTGCATAATTTGGTGATCCCAGTCAAAATTACTTGTACAGTAGATCTGTCATTATTCTATATTATCACAAAATCTTGGGTTCAATCTTTCTGTCAGGTTTTCTGTTCCTTTTTGGAACTTATTGGCAGTAGGTCTCATTGATCTGAGTTCATGCACCTCAGTTTTGAGTGAAACAAAATAAATTTTGTAGACAATTTTGGCAATGTTCACTCAAAAACTGAGTTGCATAAGCTCAGACCAATGAGGCCTGTGATTAATCAGTTCCAAAAAGAAACACAAAACCTATGTGAAAGAAACCAAGCTGATAAAACATTGAATCTAATATTGGGTAATAATACAGCATTACAAGTCATTTATAAGTTATTTTTAAAAGGCTGGTCATTTTCGAACAGGTACACCACAAGAAACAAGAAACAAGATCTCCAAGTGTACAAAAATAATCCCATTTTTTTTAGGAAGTTGTTGAACCCCAGTCAGTAAGCTTTAGTTCAATGTGATAACATTAAGCAGCATTTTCAGGAAAAAGAAAATCCTCTCCAGGTCAACATGACCAGAACACAGCATTAGGATTAATTAATGCAGGTTTAAATGGGAAAAATAGTATATTAGAATAATATGAGACTAACCATTGACAATAATTGTAATAAAAAAAATTAAATAAATAAATGTGTATGTATATATATATATATATATATATATATATATACATTACACACACACATATTAAAATAAATAAATAAGGGCGGGGGGCATCTGGAAACACTTTAGAGTAATTATAATTGAGCAACATAAGGTTAATTGTCAAAAGTGTCACAATGCAAAAAAAAAAGCCTTAATTTTGGGGTGCAATATGACTTGGGAGTACGTTTTTGTTCGATTTACCAGTCTATCAGTAAGGTTAGGGTCACCTGTGAAGTCTAACCCAGTTACATCAAATTACTGAGTGGGCACTGTTGCACATCCCTTACGAAAAAGAAGTTTATTCAAGTGTGCTATTAGTATACTTCTTTTAAACTAAAAATAGGAAAGTATACTTTTAGTCTACTTTTTATGTACTTCTCAGAAATGGGCTTTATGTACTTCTCAGAAATATACTTAAAATGACATTTAAGTATACTTGACTTATACTCAGAAAAAGTCTAAATATATTTTTGCTATAATTGTGCTCCTAGAATCCGTGTTTTCATTGTTATACGGTAGGGGGCGCTAGTACACATCTTCTGTACAGAATTTCCAAAAAACACAAGTGAAGAAGAAACCGAAACAACAGATGCTTCCACATGTAATCTAACACGATCATCAGACATAAAACAGTATCAAAACTATGTAACATTATGGAATAAAATGTCGACCAATGAAGAGGTAATAATAACTGTCAAGCTTTGGGGTGTTGATCGACTTTATCTACGTTTTGATTATCATTCTGAATCCAATTCATAGTCTTTTTTCAGCTTTTTGTTCAAAATGTTGTTTATTTCTTTATTTTTTATGAAACTTACTTATCCACATTCAAGTGTTTAAAAAAAGAATGCATGAAGCTAGAATAAAATGTTTTTGTTTACAAGCAGATACACTGTTCTTTTGATGTTTTGTATGTTCAGATATTCATGTAACAAAATATATACAAATTAATACCTAAATAGGGACATAGTAGTATACTTAAAGTATGATGTAAAGTTCACTTAAAGAAAACTTACGAGTATACTTGCAGTATAAAACTACTAAACTAGTAGTTTACTGAGACTATACTTCAAAGTGTACTAAAAATGCTACTACAAGTATTTAATTAGTAAACTATCAGTATACCTATAAGTTCACTTTTAGTATAGTTGCAGTACAAACTAAACATTTTGATGTAAACTAGTTGTGTACTCAAAGTTTACTACTGTTATACTTAAAAGTATACTTTTATATACTAGAAAGTGGGCCAATTTAGTCCCAAGGAGTATTGAAATAGTACACTTACAAGTATACTACTAGTACACTGATATTTGTATACTTACTACATAAAGTATACTTAAAAATATACTTGAACTTTACTTAAGTATACTTACTAAAATAAACTTGAAGTATACTACTTTTTGGTAAGGGCAGGCGCATCTGGTGCCAGAGCCGCTGCTTGTAAGAGTTCAAGGCTAACGTGTCAATCACACGATCACTCTGTTCTGGCTCGTACCTCGGCTTGATGGTATTTTGAGTGGATTCTCTTGAGTGGTATTTTATCAAGTGTTATGACACTATGCAGTTTGAATGAGGTTACATTATTATTTATGACAATCTCACATACAGCATGGCCTCTTTTACATTATTAAATGTACAGCATAAGATTTGCATAATGTATGTATTCACATCAGTGTTAATTTCGTTGACGAATAATTTTCGTCATAATTTTCGTCAACAAAATGTTTTTCACTGACGACAACGAGACGATAACGAACGAAGAAAATGAGACGAGAACGAGACGAAAATGTTAGGGAGGGACGATTTGGGAAGAGATTCATTCAGAACGAATCTGCTGCGTGGTTAGGTACATATGAACGGGCGGGACATGAGCTAACATACACTTGCTGCACGTCGCATAAAACGTTCAAAAATGTCAATATGTGGGAGTAAGAGAAGAGCAGACATATGGATAAATCTGACGACGCAAGACAGAACTCAATTCAGTCCGGTTTTCTGAGTGCAGACACTGAAGCACACACACACAGAAAGCGCCTCTCACAGCGCGCGAGTACTCTTTCGCGTCGCATGAACGGAGAATTGCACACAAAATTATGCTGAATTGTCCATTTTGACGAGTATTTACATAAACACAGTTAATTACATCTGAAGTAAACGTAAACAGCAGGGAGAACGTGTATCAGTACATTGCATCC